AATCGACAACTGTTTTATCTTATTAAACAATATATTTGTTTTTATATTTCATCCAGTGGTAACTCTTTATTCTTTAGCTTCTTTACCTACAGATTAGCTAATCAGTCTGGTATTGCAATTTAAATTTAAGTTAAAAACAGTATGATCAATTTCGTAAAATGTATCATTTACTCTCAACATACTGCTCTAGATCTTTTTTGGGTTCCACTAAAATATTACAATGACTAAAAAACGGAAGAACAAAATACAATAATACAAAAAAATATAGTACACCATTATGTATGTCTAGTGAATACTCTTCAACTAACAAACACGAATATTTATGAAATTTTGTCACTCACAAAGTTTATCATGAGTCAATATAAAAAATTCTAAAAGCCATGACAAATATACTTGTATTCCTATTAATTCTTTATTTTGACTTCAGTGCCACTAGTAGTCTTATACTACCCGTACTTCATTGAATTCCAATCGTCTAAAAATCTATAATATTATGCATTTAAAGAGTGCTGTTATTCTCTGCGCGGTGTATTTCTGTACATCTGTATGGGTAAGATACTTATATATTCAAATAATATTTTTTAAAAACAAATATAGTTAATTTTTAAATATAAACATTCCTACTCGAGTTACAAAAATTAATTCACTTCGCAAAATATTAAAAAAACTAAATATTTGATAATTGTATAATATTGTAAAATAAATAAAAATTTTTTTTAAAAGGAAAACTATAAAATGGTAGTAAATTTCTCAGAAAATGAGTGTACAACTTAAAATGGATCGCCTAATACTAAGTGTTAAATTATAACTAATTATACTTTATTTTAGAGCACTGGGCTAAATAGGAGTCAAATAGAATTATGTATTACATTATACGAAACTGAGATTGATATCCCAAACATTTTGAAGAAGGATTTTGGTATTAAAATTCCGGAAATTTTTTTTAATTTTGACCCAAGTAAGATATTATTCAAATAGCTATTATACTCATTACATCTATAGATAATTAACGCTACGTTATTGCATTAATATAGGTTTATACGTGGTTAATTACATTCTATCTAGTCAATAAATAATATTTATTATTACTTAACCATTTTAATAAATGTTGATGTTTTTTAAACTATCAATTTGGTTGAAAATAAATAATGATATAAAACATAGAAGGTAGAATTACTTTTTAAAAATATAATTAATCTGGGTTAAAATTTAAATATGCATAAGTACTTAACATGATTAAGTAACTACTTAATCAGTCTAAATAATTACACAATATGTTAAGCGTATACAAGTTAACTGATTGCAATACATAAATCTTAAACCTGCCGAGCTTTGTAAAAACTATTATATTTGTTATTAAAACTAATTGAATACTTTTTAATTTGTATAGCTAAAGAAAATTTTGTAAATTATAATGAGTTATTTGTGGCGTTAGCGTATAATGAAACATTTGATCACTTCGAGGTAATTAACTAAAATAACTAGTTTAACAATGAAAAATATTAACTATTAACAAATATCAAAATAATGTAAAAACCTTATTGCGAAATAATAATAATAATTATTGAACTTAGGAACCTACACTGATGCCCATGGAAGTAGAGTTGTACCTCGAAAAGTTCGTCACACTCTTAAAAGATAATAAAAATTATGGATTTCTCCCTCATAAACAACTATTACGATTATTTAAAGAATTAAACATAAAAAAAAAAGAATTAGAAAAGGCCGAAAACTTAATTCCTAAGGACGAAAAAGGTAATAATAAATTTAGATCGAGAAAGCGGTTTAATTCAAGTTAACAATCTTCATTTATTTAATTTTAGGTCATGCTATAGCTAACCAAGCGGAATTCTTGTTGATCATGTTAGACATTTTACCTGAAGTAAGCCAATACTTGTGCAACGAAAAATAGTATCTCTAGGGATTAATAGGGGGGAAATCATTGTATAATAACTAGAAATACCCGCATAGGATTTTTAATATCAGGATTTAAAAAAAACTCAACATCCCACTACTCATAATTGTAATATTTGAAAATTTACCGTATACATTTTTCTGAATAAAAATATGTATGCTAAAATGTGATATAAAAACAAAAAGTTAAAGAATCATAACAATAGTAGTTAATAAATTGTTAAACACTTTACAAATGCTTAAAATGTCTTTTGAAATTAGTGTACAGCCGTTCTAATATTTTTCCTTTTGGCTTACATTATAGGGCAATGGTCTTAGCCAAAAACAATTAGAAAAGTTCGTTGGATTGTATAATGAAACTACTACCAGTTCCATCGATCCTATAAAAATTAAAAAAATCTTCGAAGAGTTTGAAATGACTAGAACGCCCCCTAAAGAGTTATTTCGATCTAACCGTAAGAATAATATATAAAAATATGCACGTTAGATACATTTTGACTTCCTTTATAGTATATAATTACAAATTGCACAGGACCCGCTGCTAAAGAGTTGATGGAGTTATTGATCGTTACGGCAGAACGTTCTAAGACAGCTCACAGAAACGTAATAGGACTTATTTTTTACCTATTTAAAATTCTTTACTGTCACGCATTATTATCCTATTATTTAATTATTTGTTACGCTGTACATAATATTATCTTGGCAATTCTTCAGGAGACTTTGTTAAGTACACCACAGGTTAGAACATTGGTATCTAAATTCAAAATAATTGACAAGAACAATAACGGTATACTCTCTGGTGAAGAAGCGATAGAGTTTGTGACAGATTTTCTCATTGAAGATCCTGAACTTTTGACGCCGATTAATTTAAATAGTAATTTGATAAAATCACTTTTAATAATTGTATCTAAAAATTTGGTATTTTGATTTTTAGATATAAAAATAAACGTTGCCCATTACGTATTGTTCCATTTAATTGAATTGCGCGAAGTACGAGACGATGGCAGCTTGTTAGAAGAGTTATTGAAGAAATATGAAATAATACCAAAATAACTACAAAATCATGTGGTAGGTTTTTGTTTATAATTGTGTGTGCTTCAAATGAAAACTCGCTCTTCATAATATTTTAATCGTATTCTGTAAAGCAAAATCTGACAATAGTTTAGAAAGCGGTAATAAATTATTATAATATATTATACATTTTATTTAAAATGTTTAAATTAATTTTTTTTTGTCAACAGCCTAATGTTTGGTTTGCAGCAATTTTCCACACCTCAAGCTAATTTATATTTCTTATTTTATAAAATTAATTAATTTTAGTATTTTAAATGTTATGCTTTAATAGAAATTAAAATAATTTGATTTTGTTTTGTCACGGGGTCTGTAATAAGTAATATAATGATTAAACGACTTAGTAAGTAAAAGTAATTGTTTTTAATTAAATAAATAACATATTGTAAATTTTACAACAATATTTCGTTTGCAATCAATCAAAAAGATTAAAAGTTCGATTTTTCCTTGCAAAGTGATCTAAGACGGCGCACTTTTATCTGAGTTCCTAGTTCACTTAGATTACTTTTTTCCCGGAACGCTACAAAGGTGTTTTTTGGCTATATATTTTAGAATGTTATTATTAGTTATGTTATCCAATTTTATTTTTTAGCTTTGATGTTTTTTTTTTTTTTTTTCTATAATAACCGGAATGTACAAAATCAGACAACTAATCTAAACATTGCAAAAAATATTTGCAAATGACGTTTTGCTATTTAGTAATTTAATATCAATCAATAAAGAATCCTAAATAATTACTGTATTAATAAGTATATTCTATAGTTCAAAGTAGACATAATGATTTTCGAAAAAATGCCAATAAGTACTACACTTCTTAGAAATGGGCGAATTGGGCCTCTTAAGAACAATAAGGTATCATTGCATAAAATATAATATACGAATTTTCTCTGTTACTAAATATGTTTTGTAAATCGAACAATCTGGCAATATCAGTTTTTGTAATGTAATAAAAAATAATTTTTGTTTGTAGTTGTTACTAGTTAGTATTAATCATAGCTAACTTAAACTCATTTCAAGTATATAGTTTCAAATTTCCTACAGTATGAAACATTTACCAAAATACAAACTACAATTAGAAATTCTTAGGTTATAAAAGATGCACACTATTTACTAATATACTTAAGTGCTCAAATTGTGGCCTTCAACTTCTCTACTGATATACATTTTATAATTATGTATTATACGTTATAAACTAGCTATACAAGTTTTATCAACATTTTTAATTTCAAGATTTATAATAAATATATATTATTAAATAAAATAACACACATACTTATTTTTCAAAAAAAGAGTGATATCAGATAAAATGAACATCTATTGATTAAACGACGTCATTATAAAATACAGTCGCTTAAATTCAATTTTACAATAATTTAATTACTAATGACATACATGATGAGAATAATGGGTACGGATAGGGTCTTTAAAAAAGTATTATTGTTACTGAGCTCGATAAAATGACTTTCAAAATAACGTGTTGATAAAAAACTATAGATGGTTTATGATGGAAACAAAATACTTAGCATAACTATTTTGTAAATTATAGAACCTAAAATTACATTTTTATGAGACAATTTTTTAGGAATTCCGTTCAATATTCGAGTGTATGGTTTGGAATTTAATATTTGTTAAGTGCATACCTGTTATCATATTAAATTTTTAGTACTTTGAAAGTTTTTTTACAAAATTTAATTTCACTCGTTATATTCAAAAATGTTATAGGTTGTTAGACATTGAGTTTCACATTGAAACTAAAAGTTTACACGAAAGTCATGTAAATTAATTTTACCAATGATCCATTTTCTGTTGTAATATAAGTTGTTCATAAAAATCTTTTGTGTTTTTAGCTTCAACTTGAGTGGTTTTTTTTAGTATTTTATTTGTACAGTTGGAAGGGGTGTATGAATATTTATTCAATGATTTCATAACGCAGGTTTGAACAAATATTTTAACTCTAATATAGTTGGAACATTAAAACATGTTTTTTCAATCTCTTATAGCTTTGAAATTGTTGGTGCTTCTGTTCTACACGTACATTAATGAATTTCTGTGTTCTAAATAACTATACTAGTATGCATTTTAAATATGCTGTTATTCTCTACATGGTGTATTTGTTTACATCAGTATGGGTAAGATAGTTATTTCTTTAAGATATAGAAAACTAAAAAAATATATACTCGTATATATATATATATGTATATGTTGACTATTGAATATACGGATTATAATTTTTAAAACGACTAAGTTGTTTATACAAAGACAATATTGTAAGATTAGTTTGTGTTATTTTTTTTGTATTAGTTTTCGGGATAATATTAATAATAATGGTAAATATATGTACATGTATACTTTAGTATATTTTAGTTAATAACTACTAAACAATATTAGGTCTCCGGGGGGCGGGGACTTGTCGAGTTTTGGGATAAAGGCAACGTGTGAAAAGAGTAATTTTTAGTACTATTATAGAAAATTCATAGACCATTTTAGAGCTAATTTATTATACTACTTTAGCTTGGAAGTCGACAATTGTTTTATCTTATTAAATAATGGGTTTTTTTTTTTAATTAATCCTGTGATAACTCTGGTTTCTATAACTACTGGTAATTTAAAAAAATAATATGTAGATTTAGCTAATCAGTCAATTTCATAAGATGTACTATCTGGTCCGAAGATACTGCTCTAACTAAGAATTGTGATTAAATAAAATATTACAATGACCGAAAAACAGAGAAAATAATATAGTACACCATTATGTGTGTTTAGTAAAAATTCTTCAACTAACAAACACGAATATTTATGAAACTTTGTCAATCACAAAGTTTATCATGAGTCAATATAAAAGATTCTAAAGCTATGACAAATATACTTTCTGTCTTTCTGTTATTTCGTTATTTTGACTTCAGTGCCACTAGTAGTTCTATACAACACGTACTTCATTGAATTCCAATTGTCTAAAGAACTATACTATATGGATTTTAAGACTTCTGTTATTCTCTGCGCGGTGTATTTCTTTACATCTGTATGGGTAAGATACTTATTTCTTTAAATAATATTTCCTAAAATAAATATAGTTATATACTTCTTATATAAGGTGAGTTATATAACATAGTTCTATCACTTATGCGTTAAAACCTTATGGTCATATGCTATTAAAAGGTAACGTATATGTTTGAAACTTTTTAATTTAACAAAAATTAAATTGGCTAAAAATGTTAAATCGTCGTTAATCAGTATTGAGTAATTACTTATCAGTTTTTAAATATTTGATAATTTTATAATATTATAAAATATAAACATTTTTTTCAAAAGGAAAACTATAAAATGGTAATAATATTCCCAGAAAATGAGTGTACAGCTTTAAATGGATCGCCTAATACTAAGTGTTAAATTATAATTAATTATACTTTATTTTAGAACACTGGGCTAAATAGGAGTCAAATAAAATTATATATTACATTTTACGAAAGATTTTAGTATTGAAAATCCGGAAAATGTTATTAACTACGACCCAAATAACATATTATTTAAATAGCTACTTTATCTATAGATAAGACATACATAATGTCTAGCGAATACTTTTCAACTTCCAGCGAATTATGTAAGTGCAATTAAATAAGAAAGTTGCGTTTTGTTTGTCGAACAAGGAACACGAATGGTCCGCTTTGTAGTGCTGAATTCACGTGTTGTGTTTCATAAATATTGTATCATGAAAAATGTTTTTACTAACAGTGGAAGTGTGTTAAGCTGCGTCTGAGATCCTACAAGTAACAATCAACAACATTTACGATTAGTCAAATTGTTGGAAAATAAAAATCAATATTGACAATTCGGTGCACGTTGACTACTCCCAGAGACGCTAAACCAACAGATAATCCTACAAAATGATCAGAAAAATATCTTGGAATGCACCCAAACACGCGACTTAACTGGAAATATCATGTACGCAATAAAAAGTTGCAATTCAAAGAAAAAATACGTAAACTGTTTTGGTTAGTTGGCGACACTCAGCTCGGACCTAACCAGCAAACGTCTCCTGTATGTATAGATCGTTAAGCCGATTTGGATCTATGGTATTCGACTGTGGGATTGCACCAGTAAGTCTTATATCGAAAACACCCATTATTGACAAAACATATCTCTTGTTGCAGCATATCGGTATGATAAGAACGAGATCATCCACCGCGATCTGAAAATAATATTGGTGCAGGATGAAATTACCCGATTTCCCGCAAACACGCAAAAAGACTGAAGTTTCACTCAAATACAGCTGGCATAACACTCCTTCACAACTCGCAAGACATCAGACGACTCAAACGACTGAAACCCTTCGACATAGTCTAATTATTATATTAAGAATGGGGCTACTTCACTGGAAGTATAACCCCACACATGTTTTTATAAATAAATAAATATATATACATATATATAAATATATAAAGATTTTCTCACAGAGTTTATATAACGTATATATTTTACTATCTTTTTAAATAGAGAACAATATATTATAACATTTTGAATGGTCGATAACCAGTTTCAGTTTATTGTTAAAGTTAAAAGAGTTTATAAGTTAGGATAGGAGAGGAAGTGCGGTTGGGAAATGCGCGCAGATAAAAATAAAAATACACCTTTCCTCCTGCCCTAAACTTAAAACTCCAAAAAATAGTTATCCGAAACTGGTTTGCCCGGTCAAAAATGTTTAGTACGTTATTCTCAACTTAAAAAGTTAATAAAATATACACTTCGTTACCATTTGAATTCAAAAGTTGCTATCAAAAAAACTAAGTTTTCTGAATAAAAATATATAGGCTAAAACTGCGTAAACAAATCAAAAGTTAAAGAATCATAACAAAATAGTAGTTAATAAATTGTTTAACATTTTACAAATGCTTAAAATATAAAATGTCTTTTGAAATTAGTATACAGCTATTTTAATATTTTTCCTTTTGGCTTACATTATAGGGCAATGGTCTTAACCAACAACAATTAGAAAAGTTCATTGAATTGTATAAACATAATAAAACTAATAACGGCTGCATTGATCCTGGGAAAATTGAACAAATCCTCATAGAGTTTGAAATAGATGAAGAATCACAAAAAGAGTTATTTCGATCTAGCCGTAAGAATAATATATAAATATAAATGCACGTTAGATACATTCTGATTTCTTGTATAATATATAACTTGCATAGGACCCACTGCTAAAGAGTTGATGGAGTTAATAATCGTTACGGCAGAACATTCTAAGACAGATCACACAAATGTAATATAATTTGTTTTTTACCAATTTAAAATTTCTTTGTTGTCGTGCATTACTTCCCTATTATTTAATTGTTCGTAACGCTATACATAGTTTTACATTGTAAATTTGTTAGAACAAGATGGTGTTCTGTGCAGAAGAGATCAGAAAATTGATAACTTTCTTCAAAAAACTTGACAAGGACAAAAACGATATACTTTCCGGTGATGAAGCGAAAAAGTTCGTGGAAGAATTTTTTGTAACAATGAATTTAATTAATGGTAATTTGGTGAAAATGCTATTTATGTTTTTATCTAAAAAAATGGTATTTTGATTTTTAGGTATAGAAATAAACGTTGCCCAATACTTATTATTCTTACTTATCCAAAAGCACCAGACACCAAACGATAGTTGCTCGTTAGAACAATTATTGAAGATATGCAAAATAATATAATTAAAAAATCGTGTGGTAGGTTTTTCTTTATAATTATATGTGTTTCAAATAAAAACTGTTTTTTAATAATATTTTAATTGTATTCTGTAACGCGTAATCGGACAATAGTTTCGAAATAGTATCAAAATCCATATTATCTTTTTGTTATGCTAATATATACGATTCCAAGTTTAAGCTTAATGGTAAAATGTATGAAAAATTTCCTAAGCAATGAGCCTTAATAATTTCTATTCTGGACGCCACTAGTTTAAAAAAAATATTCACTTTTTAAGTTTTTAGTATTTTAGCTTTAAAATATCGTGAATCACCACTATCTAATACATTTTTATACTATTAACTTTAAATCAGTTTCCTCAAAATGCCTTTTCAAAACGATAAACATGACATAACATACACGACGAAAAATGTATTTTATCTATTGACTTTTTGTTAATATTTTCTCTAAATGTATAAAAGTAATCATAAAAACTATTTTTGAATTATTGAAATGTTTAAATTCATAATATATTATTTTTTTATTTTTTTGTTAACAGCCCAAAAATTTGGCGGCAGCAATTTTCTACACCTCAATTTATGTTTATGAATTCACATAATTTAGTTCTTATAATATTTAAAGTATCACGCTTGAATGTCCAGTATACAAAATTAAAATAATTATGTATTTTTTTCTTGTCACAAGATATATGAAATAATATTTAATATAATGATAATCGATTCAGTACCTAAATGTGATTGTTTTTAATTAATTAAATACCTATTATAATTTTGAAACACTATTTTTTCAGCAGTCAATAGAAAAGATTAGGAGTTAGTTTTTCCCATGCAAAGTGTTCTAGGACGGCGCCTTTTATCTGAGTTCCTCGGACACTTAGATTACATTCTTACTAGAATGCTTTAACTGTGTTTTTGGCCATATAATTTAGAATGTTATTATTAGTCTACCTTATCTACTTTTAGTTTTATTTTACTTTTTAAAGTCAAATTTTTATTGATTTATAAAATATATAACTTAAAATAGTTCATCAAGACAACCGTAAAATGTATTAGGAATTGGCTATGCAAAATCTGATGAACTTTATTTACTTGGTGTCCAACGGATGTCCAATATTTTTTTCTAAACAGAGGCCCGTAACTTTCTTTTTCTCCAAGATGAGTAATTAGTTAATAGTCCTATAGTTTGAATAGTTTTCCTAACTTTTTATCACCAGTAAGTATACCATTTGAATTATTATTAATTAATAAAATCAACCAATTTAGACCCTGTGCAAAAAAAAAAATAAGGCAAATAATAAAAATCAAGTTTTCCTTCAGAGCGTGCTTATGCATATTTGTAGTTGCACACCTATATTCAATATACACAGTACTATAACAGGAATTAAAATAATAAATAGAACTTAACCTAACCTGGCGTACTTTGGTCTACATGAAAAAAAGTTATCATTACCTCAGACGTTTGTGAAATAAGTACCTAATTGAATTTAAAAAAATTTGGTTTTAGTCATCACTCCTCAGGGTTAATACTCCTTTTTTACAAGAAAAATATATGACATAATATACATTATATATATATATATATAGGAAAATGTATCTAAAAATTTTGATTTAACATACTGTTCAGTATACTGATACTGTATAGTATAATTTTCTGTTATTCGGTAAATATAAGTTATAAAGTAAATGTATAATCGTGGCACCTAGTAAGTACAACAATATATAATAAATTAGTGGCCTGACATTATTAAGCAAAGTGACAATCCTGTAAAATTCGATAAGGATTTTTTCCCTAAAATTGATTAGATCATCTATCGATTAGTTTTAAATGTATTTCGCATAATATGATCCAAACACAATTGATTATCATTATTTGTATTATTGATTATACGAAAATAAAACTTACTATTTATTTTATCATTTCAAAAAAAAATTGTTTTTTAGAAATGTATTATTATTTTTAAAAAAATCCCAATTTTTTCTTTTATTTTGAGACGATGAAAAAACCCGTTTTTTCTGGAAATGTTCAAAAGTTATGATCCCTTCACCCTTTAACTATTAAAGGAGTAGAATCTTTTTCTATATTTTTAGTATTTCAAGTCATTGGTCTATATCTGTTCTCAAAAACCCAGATTGAACGTAGGTCGATTATTATTAAAACAACACCAAAGCGGTTTGATCATATTATTTACATTTCATAGGTAATAAAATAATATAACCTATATGGCTCGCTATTATGGTATTGGTAAAAATGTGTATCGCTATTCGCTTGGCCTTGACGCTTTAAGTACAACGTTTACAGTTTGGGAAAACGGTGGGTTTCTGTACGTAAACTATTACCATCGTACACAACATTCATATTATTTATAAGCCCCATCTGCACATATGTTTGCCTGGCGCGTGGAACACAGGCCTAGATTAATAACGAAACCGATCCACATTATACATGCAAAATTATCCGTAACATATCCTAACGTTTAATTAGAAAAATATAACAAAATACTTAATACAACAGTATAAATACATTGAGTATAAAATTTGCAAATGTTTGTCATGAACGTTTTGGTTTGTAATAATTTTAGTTGTTTGTAACTAAAAAAGTCTACTTAAATAATATTGAACGCTGATTGAGATTTGGTAATTTTTATCGGTATAAATGCCTCGAAAAAATATTTCTATCAGAGATTGATCCATATACTATCATATTATTGAGTGACGGTAGAAATAATATTATAAGGAATGATGTAGAGTTATAAGGTGTTTTTGGTAAAATGGACGTTGTCGTTCCAAATCTACACCGTACAATATACACAAAAAAAAAAAATTGTTATTTAGGATGCAAATTGTAAAAGAAAAAATGTGTATATCATTAAATGCATATATTACGAATTTAAATAAATAAACGAAGGTGCACAACACAAAAAACGGACCAATTAATTTTTTATTTTGACGACAGGAAACTTATAATTTTTAAATTCCAACTGAAGCGGAGGAGGAGATATAGGAGCTATAGGTATATAGTGTATACTGTAAGCTCAAATTCGAATCTCTCGCTAAAAAACCGTAGAAATTTAGATATTTTTAACACACTACCTTTAAGTTTAAAGGTTTTAAGTATCCCTTACCCTCCCCAACCCTGATTTTATATAATACAAAAAATAATAATTGTAGATACATCTATAAACTATTGAACATTATAAAAAAAATATATTAGAAATTCATTGCAATGTATTCGGTTAAAGAAACAAAACACTGCTAGGTAACTTTAGCCAAGTAACATTTGGCATCATGGGAAACACCTGAGTACACTGTGCCTGAGTATATTGTGCGATTTTCAAACTTTTTGGTGTGTAATGCCATTATAGTACATAGCACATATAGCTAGTGACCAGAATTCATAAAACAAATGTACTTGAGAAAAAATATGTTCTAAGCTAAGTACTCATAACTGTAGTGGGAGTCTAGTTATCTGTCAGATCGGAAACGATCAACCTACCAAAAATAGCGAGTGTCCGGCACTGCTTGCTTAACGATTCGATTACAATTTGTTTATACTTAAAAAAAAAATGTCCAAAACGGTTTAAAGTCAAGTGTCCGGTGTTGCTTACTGTCGAGTAAGCAATGTCTCACTCCATGCCTAGCTATGTCATTTATACAATTGAATATATTTAAACAGAAATTAACTAAAGCCATACAAATGTGTTCGTAATATTTTTCAAGATCAAAGCAAAACTATTATCATCTACTGGTTCTCGTTTTATCAATTTCAATTATAATCTGTTTAAAATAATATTAGGTACATTTGACAACGTTTAACATAGTACATTTTAGTCATGCTATAGTACAAATAAATCAATAAGGTTTAACCGGAATTTGTAAAGATTACATTGAAATTGTTTTATATGAAACAGCAGTTAACGTTAACATTCTGTTGGAATCTTTTGTTTGGTCATGTCAATTATAAGCGCAAAACATTGTTTCAGTTTTATTTTTAATATAATAAATTATTTTCAAATAGCATTAAGGACGAATGCATAACTTGTAATGGACAAACTGTATGGCATTGTGCGATGATGTAAGTTAAAAGGAGTAACTATAGTCCAGCTGATATTGTCAGTGTAATTTAATATTCTCTATGCCATTTTTAAAAAAAATTCAAATCAATTTCGATTTTTAGCTTCGATGCTTGTTTTTAAACTTGAAACTTAAAAATGTAACTTAAAGGTGCCATAACGTTAATGATTTCATCAGCTACATCAGAGCTTTAGCAACTCCTCATCACCCAGGGTTTTGGGATTAGTTGAATCCTGGAAATTGTTTTATTACAATACAATTTTGAGTACAGAAAGAAGCAATCGGTACATAGTTTTAGGCTTTACTAGTATTTGCGATGTTAATAAAATTCTCTGATTAATACACGTGCGCACAATAATATGTAAAATTGGTATTAATAATTACTGACACAAGTATGCCATATGCCATATTAAGACGTAGACAGTAAACGTTTCTTTGTGAATAATGGGTAATAAAGGTTAAAAATATCAACTTTTAAAATACAAATTTTAATTAACTTAAAAAAAACCATACGGAAAAAAAAATTCAAATTGTTTAAATCACTTAAATTCCTTTAAAATATGATAGAATATATCGAAATTGATTGTTGCAGTTTCTTAATAGACAAAGGAATAATGAAGACACCCGACGACTAGAATATCTAAATTTGTCATTTTATCATATTTTAAAGAAATTTAAGTATTTCCACAATCGTGGGTTTTTTAACATCAAATACAGCATATTACACGATGCCTATAGCAATGTAATCAATTTATTACAAAATACACCTCGGCAGTATTACATTTATCGTTTTATTGATTGAGCAATTTGACACAATAAGTCGTCATGCAAATTTATGTGTTTATGCATAAACACTTATAGGTAAAGTCAAATCAGATAATTTAGTTTTGCTTTTACAAAATGTAAAGGCGTGAGTACAAATAAAGAGAAAGACAAAAATCCAAACAATACAGAGGAAAGTTAGCGAACACCCCCCCCCCTCCAAAAAAAAGTTAAAAAGAATACTAGAGAACTGATCGTCCAAGAACCTATATATGCAACATTGCAGCCTATATCCCAACAGGGAGTTCTTTAAGTAATATTTTTAAAAGATCCTTTTGAAAAAAACAAAAACTAACTTATTTAATTAAGAATAGGGTAAGTATTTGGAATCTAATATATTGTAAGTGTAAATTTGGCAATTTAAATAACTGGGATTCTAAATTATAGCCAGCTAACAAGGGAAAATCAGAAGTTAGTCTACTCTTGATAATGGTTACAGCCCTATTCTAATGCACAACAGTTGACGGGACTCCAAAGATTGACTTGGACACGGATATGAAATGACTTCTGATATTATATATGAAACTCTAGAGAAATGGTATTTATTAGAAAAAATCTAGGCGTTTGTATTTGACAGGGCTGCTAGTAATACAGGTCGGTTAAATAGTAGATGTCATATTTTAGAACAAAAACTTGACCACGATATTTCATATTTCGCATGTAGGCATCGTGTGCATAAAAAAGTATTGTAAGATGTATTTTTTGAGACTTTAAATTGAAACGAGTAAAGGGCCACATGTTGTTCTTTTTAAAAAGCTCAAAAAATTACAGTAATACGAGAAAATATAATACACACCATTGTGTAAATATTCTTCACCTTCCACCTTAGAAGCGAATGTACATCGTGTGCGAAATTAATTAGCAAACACATAAGATTTATTAAATTTTGTCACTCACAAAGTTTATCATAAGCCAATATATAAGACTATAAAAGACACGACAATTCTTATTATACTTGTTTTGATTTAATTCGATATTTTGACTTCAGCGCCAACAGTCTTTCCATTCTCACGTACTTCATTAAATTTCAATTATCTTAAAAACTAAACATTATGTATTTTAAGAGTGTTGTTATTCTCTGCGCGGTGTATTTCTTTACACCTGTGTGGGTAAGATACTTGTTTCTCTAAAATAAATATAGTTATATACTTATTATAGAAGGTGACCTATATAACATAGTTCTATCAATTATGCATTTAAACTTAAAATCGTATGGCCTTATGCTATAAAAGGTAACGTTTATGTTTTATTAACTTTTAAATTTAACGAAAAATGTTGAATATACAGATTATAATTTATAACGACTAAGTTGTTGATACGAAGAGAATATTTTAAGATTAGTTTGTGTTATTTTTTTTGTATTAGTATTCGGGATAATATTATTAATAATGGTAAATATATGTACATGTATACTTTAGTATATTTTAGTTAATAACTACTAAACAATATCAGGTCTCCGGGGGGCGGGGACTTGTCGAGTTTTGGGATAAAGGCAACGTGTGAAAAGAGTAATTTTTAGTATTATTATAGAAAATTCATAGACCATTTTAGAGCTAATTTATTATACTATTTTAGCTTGGAAGTCGACAATTGTTTTATCTTATTAAATAATACGTTTTTTGTTTGGTAATTAATCCAGTGATAACTCTTTGGTTTCTATAACTACTGGTAATTTAAAAAAATAATATGTAGATTTAGCTAATCAGTCGATTTCATAAGATGTACTATCTAGTCCGGAGATACTGCTCTAGCTAAGAATTGTGATTAAATAAAATATTACAATGACCGAAAAACAGAGAAGAAAACAAATAAAGTAATACAAAAAATAAAGTACACCATTATGTGTGCCTAGTAAATACTCTTCAACTAACAAACACGAATATTTATGAAATTTTGTCACTCACAAAGTTAGTCTTTCTGTTATTTCGTTATTTTGACTTCAGTGCCAAAATATAAAGAACTATACTATATGAATTTAAAGACTGCTGTTATTCTCTGCGCAGTGTATTTCTTTACATTTGTATGGGTAAGATACTTATTTCTTTAAATAATATTTCCTAAAATAAATATAGTTATATACTTCTTATATAAGGTGAGTTATATAACATAGTTCTATCACTTATGCGTTAAAACCTTATGGTCAAATGCTATTAAAAGGTAACGTATATGTTATAAACTTTTTAATTTAACAAAAATTTAATTGGCTAAAAATGTTAAATGGTCGATAATCAGTATTAAGTAATTAATTATCAGTTTTAAAATATTTGAGAATTTTATAATATTATAAAATATAAACATTTTTTTCAAAAGGAAAACTATAAAATGGTATAATATTCCCAGAAAATGAGCGTACAACTTTAAATGGATCGCCTGATACTAAGTGTTAAATTATAATTAATTATACAATATTTTAGAGCACTGGGCTAAATAGGAGTCAAATAGAAGAATGTATTAAATTATACGGTGATCGCAATAAGCCAGACAGTAATTTAGTTATCAGACATCTTATCCAGTACGAATTTGGAATTGAAAATCCTAGAACTGTCTTTAATATCTCCTCAAGTAAGATGTTGTCATTATTATTTTTTTTTTAATGGGTCTTTAAGACCAGCCCTTCAAGTATACGTTCCATCAACTACCTCTGCCCTCCGCTGCTCATTCTGTCTGAGATTATTTTTTTGTAATGTTGGGGCGTTGAAAAAGGCCCTGGAGTTTTTGATAATGTCGTTTCCTCCATGCCCCGGTTTGATCATCCTTACATGGTCCAAAATTCTTTCTCAGAATTTTTCTTTCGAAAACCTCCAATTCTATTTCTTCTGTTTTCCTGAGAGGCCAAGTTTCTGAACCGTATAACACCACTGGGCGTATCAACGTTGTATACATCGAATTTATTAACAAATGATCTATTTGATTCATAAATCTTCCATCGCGTGACCTCCAAGTTCCTTTATGGATGTTTTTATGGGTGAACATCGTACTTTGTATTAAAAAACCTTTCCCAGTTGATAGGTCAATAAGTCTAAGGCCATTATCATTTGTCATTTTATGTAGACTTTGTGAACCGATTGTTGGTTTGAACACTCTCTTTTTCAATTTTCGCATTTAGGTCTCCTAGTATTATGTGTATACTATTATTAGGTAGTGACTTGACTATATTAAGTAACTAGGTACTTTATCAGTCTAAATAATTACACATGTTAAGTGCACATAATTTAATTGAATGTAATATATACAATATACATCTTAAAATTGCCAAGCTTTGTTGAAAAATATTATGTTTGTTACTAAAAACTAATTATGTACTATTTAATTTATATAGATGAGCCTTATTATATATATTTTATGAACTTATATTTGGTGCTAGCGTATAAAGGAACAATTGACAACTTCGAGGTATTTGATCTAAAAAAACTAGTTTAACAGTAAAACATATCAACTATTAAAAAATATTAAAATATTGTTAAAACATTATTGCGAAATATTCGTGTATGTACTTAGGTTGCAACCCTGATGCCTTTTGAAGTAGAGTTGTTCCTCGAAGTATTCATGAGACACGCCCGACGTTTAGGACAACATGGATACCTTAATCGTAACCAACTATTACATGTATTTGCAGACTTAAATATTAAACCAATGTCAGAGGCCGAACAATATATTCCTCGGTCTAGTAGAGGTGGTATTAAATTTAGATCGAAGCTAAGGTTTACTTCAAGTTAACAATCTTTGTTTATTTAATTTTAGGCGGTGGTCTTGCTCACGCAGCGGAATTCTTGTTAATCATGTTAGAAGTTCTACCGGAAGTAAGTTAATCTTTGTGCAACGAAAAATAGTATCTCTAGAGATATGAAATGGAAACTGTAATAAATAACGAACGAAAAACCATATTATAACAAATAATAGTATAACCCAGATAAAACTTTTAAAAACTAGGATTTTCTAAAAAAAAAAACACAAAACAACTTTTTGAAAATTTAAAAAATTGATGTTATAGATTTTTTTGGATAAAAAAAATGGATACTAAATTGTTGTTTATTAAGCGAAAAATAAAGAATCATTACAAAAGAGTAGTTAATAAATCGCTGAAAATTATACATTTGCATTAAATGTAAAATGCGTTGACATTTTTGTTCAGCTATCTAATATGTATCCTTTTTCTTTCATACATTATAGGGCGTTGGTCTAAACAAAGCACAAATAGAAGAGTTCGTTAGATTGTATAGACATCATCAAGTTGAATCCGGTTCTATCGATCCTTTGGAGATTAAAAGAATTATCATAGAGTTAAAAATGGTTACTGCGCCGTATCATGACATACTACTATTTAGATATAACCGTAAGAATAAAATATAAATACATTCACGTTAGATACATTGTGATTTCTTGTATAATATATAACTTGCATAGGACCCGCTGCTATACAGTTGATGGAGTTAATGATCATCACGGCAGAACGTTCTAAGACAGCTCCAAGAAATGTAGTATAATTTATTTTTTATCAATTTAAATTTGTTTTTTGCTGTCATGCGTTATTTCCCAATTATTTAATTCATTTTTTTACGCTGTACATAATTTTACTTAGATCATTTGCAAAGAAAAGGTGTTAAGTACACCAGAGGTCAGATCAATGATATCTAAATTCAAAAAACTTGACAGGGACGGTGACGGTTTACTCTCCGGCAACGAAGCGGAAAATTTCGTTAATGAATTTAACACTTCAAATCCGGAAGTTCCAATGACATTTAATTTCTATGGTAAGTTCACCACTTATACATTAACTAGCTAACCTGCAAGTTTACTGACCTAAAATATCTCCTAAAATATTGTCATTTTGTTTTTTAGAAACAAGAATAAACGTTGCCGAATACTTGTTGTTCAAAGTCGAGCAAAAAGAGGTTTGATAATCATAAAAATAATATTTGAAATACTGAAATGTTTATTTATTTATTTTTTTTTTTTGTTAATAGCCCGAAGGCTGGTGTCCACCCTCAGATTGCTCAATTTATTAATTATAATATTTAAAATACAACGCTTTTATGTCTAATATTATACAAAATTAAAATAATTTATTTTTCTTGTCGAGAGATATTTAATAATAAGTAATATAATGGATTTTTAATGATTCAACGGTTCAGTCAATAAATGTAATTGTTTTTAATTAAATAAATAACATATTATAACATATCAATTTGGTTTTATTTTATTCTCATTTTCTATAAATAACCGGAATGTTCAAAAACGATATTTCGAATTAACTGTAATTAAGTTATAAAAATGTGCAGAGTCAGACGAGTAATCTAATTTGGGTAAACAATATAATTTGTTGAAGACGTTTTGCGATTTATAAACTTAATACCTATGGAATCTCTTTTCCAACGCCAAAAATACGAGCCCCATGTTCGGCTTATAATTATCTTTGTCCCATTGTAGTAAAGAGTATAAAGTGAAATTTAAGAAATATGTAAATTAAAATAATTCATTAAGACAACCGTCAAATTTAGTAGAAATTGGCTATGCAAATTAGGATGAACTTAGTCGGACTGCTGTTAAACCGAATTAAACATATGTATAATAAAATTGATCTAAATTAAATTAAATTAATTAATAATTTTAATAAACCTTCAAAGATAGTACAGCTGCCAGATTTCGGTGGTTTTATAAGAGAGTGTGCAGAAAGTATTCTACATTATTGTAATTGTTATTTATACTTAAAAATATTTTTTTTAAATTAATATTATTTTACTTCCAAATTGTCCTGAATTTTCATTTGCCATTAGGTATAGTATGTTAGACACATTTTTAGCTCTTGAATCGTAAAATTGCGAAAAAATCTTCCAATCCAGCCCCCCCCCCCCCTCACCACGCGGCCCCTGCCAGAACACCACTTCATGCGTACCAACCTACACATACCAACCCAAAATCAAAACAACAAAAGCCAGTACAGTGGGGTCGGGGCATAGTGGGGACGTTTATTGTAATTAATTAGTTTATTTTAAAAATAAATGATGTCAGGCTGGGAGGGAAGCAAAGCGAAAGCGTCGCCCTCTCAGTCTGGGCGATACCGTGATAAAAAAAAAAATTATTTAAGTTTTAATCAAACGTTTGATTTTTGACCAAAAAAGATTGTCACATACACGTTCTGCTGGTCATTTATCCGGCGAGTCCATAAGACCAAATACAGAGGAGTGAGGCTCAGGGGTGTGAGAATTCCAATAGAAACTACATCCAAAAATTAACACTATCACTACGTTCACAAAAATGGTTGGCTTTTAAAGGAATTTAGTAAAGTCACCATAAAAAAACCATCTTAATATACAGAGAAATATTTGTTGGCACGAATTCTCTCATGTTGGCCACTACTAGATTATACTAACTGGATTGTACTAAGTTAGTACTACTAACTAATAATATTGTATTGAGTGGTGTGTTTTAAATAGAAAATCTAACCTTATTGTAAGTGAATCCGCCAAAATTGTATCTGCACTACAGGTTGACCGCTTCTTTTCCACATCTTCGATATGTATGTAAACACTGGACCTAAATAATGTTAAAGATAAATTTAACGTTAAAAAAAACAGTAGAGTGGGGTCGGGGCAAAGTGGGGATGGAGCAAAGTTGGATCGGGGCACAGTGGGTGCGGGGATGTCACAGGTTTACGGGAATTTTCAAATCTGAAAGTGAATTTAAATTAAAATTAAAAAGTCAAATTTCGACTGTAAAGGAGTAAACTTTTTTAACATTTACCTACCCCATCCAAAGCACCAACTAGATGAAAATTGTGATTTATAGAGTTGCTACTCGAAGGAATTGGTCCAGTTTTAAAAAAGTTACAGTGTATACAGATAAAAAAAAAACACACATCAGAGTAAAACCAAACCTTTGCCACTGTGCATCGAAGCTAAATATAAAATACTAATGATAAGACATAAAAGGGGTTTGCATGTATATGTATATGAATTAGTATAGTGACTTTTAATTCAACTTCCCAAAATAGTAACATAATTATATTTAATTATTTTATTGTTGTAACTTGTAGTATTTAATAAGATTGCAGTAGTGAATACAAACACATAAAACTACTAACTATAAGTAACTTTTGACTGTGTCTAGTTATAATATATATGTATTTTGTTTATTACTGGATATCTTTGATTCTAATTCACATTTCTTCAAAACGCGTTCACACTTTTAGATTCCACTAACAGCATAATTAGCATAACAACCTAACCTCCACTTTTTTCATTATTTCTACTTCTAGTGATGACTAAAGAAAAAAAAATTATGAGTCATTTTTATGAAACCACTTTAATTTTAGTTTATAAGTCTGACAACATAATTCATTGGAGGTAGCTTCAGCTTTAATTTTTAAATTTAAAAAGTGGACATGCAATCTCTTTTATGATAATTATTGGATAGGGACTTGAAAAAAAAACGATTATTGATTATTGAACTGTATAGATTCCTAATGTTTTAATGCTGTTAATTTTTCATAAACTGATAATATTTTTATAAACAAAAGACAATTAACTGTAGATAAAAAAAATGTCTTATAAATTATAAAATAAGTTGACATTTGTATGAAACATGAAAATATGAGTCATAGCTAATGTACACACAATAAGTTCTTCTTCTACATCGTCTCAGCGTGGATAAGTAATTTTATTAGATTTTTGTAATACTACAATTAGTTTTATATTATAAGTGAAAAATTATATTATTTTGTGGGAGGGTGTAAAAATTTAAGTATCAAAAAAACTTGCATTTAAAGACTATTTGAACAATGCAACTTAATGTATTTTAACTTTATTGGATATTTATGATTTTTTTTTAGAAATTTACTATAATACACAGGTTTTTCTATTCGCATAGAGATCATAGCGATAACGTATCCTAAATTTTTGTTTATCATAGTATATTTTTAACAACAACAATTCGCATAAACAGCACCGTCGTGACCTAAATTTTTATTTTTTTGGCTATCAAAACGAATTTGCGACCGCATATTTTTGTGCTTAAATACACATTTGGAAACAATAATATGTTTTCAACGAGCTTTTTTTTTTTGATGAAAATCACATTTTTCGTAGTGTTACAAATTAATAAAAGAAGTTGCTCTCTTAAATTATGTTCGGTATTAATCTAACAAAATCTAGGCACAGTGTATTTTTATTTTCTGTGTCCTATATTTCCCTGTCTGCAATATTATAATTTGTGTTAAACAAAGGTCTAAAAAGAAACATACTACATTTATTTAATTTCTACATTTTTCGTATTTTCTTGTTTGAACATTTGAATTTTATTGCATGGCAATAAAATACCATATTGTATTTTGTTTATTACTGGATATCTTTGATTCCAATTTACATTTCTTTAAAAATGCGTTCACACATTTAGATTCCACTAAGAGCATAATTCGCATAACAACCTAACCTCCACTGTTTTTCATTATTTCTATTTCTAGTGATGACTAATTAAAAACAAAAAAAAATTATAAGTTATTTTTATGAAACCACTTTAATTTTAGTTTATAAGTCTGACAACATAATTCAATGGAGGGAGCTTCAGCTTCAATTTTTAAATTTAATAAGTGGACATGCAATCTCTTTTATGATAATTATCGGATAGGAACTTGAAAAAAATAAACGATCAATGATTAATGAATTTTATAGATTCCTAATGTTGTAATGCTGTTAATGTGTCATTAACTGATAATGTTTTTGTACACAAAATTCAGTTTACTGTTGGTAAAAAAATCATTTTTGGTAAAAAAACAAAAAATTCGCATGAACAGCACCGTCGTGACCTAAATTTTTATTTTTTTTGGCTATCAAAACGAACATGCGACCTTATATGTTGTGCCTAAATACACATTTGGAAACGAAAATATGTTTCCAGCAATTATTTTTTTTTGTTGTTGAAAAAATACATTTTTCGCAATATTACAAATTAATACTATTAAGTTACATTCTTGGAAATCGTAAATTGTTTACAAATAAATACTAAAACGCGGAGTCACTTTCTGAAGTGTCTACCGAACCGAATAATTGTTTGTAGGTTTTATAGTTTAATATCGTTTCTATGAAATGGCTATTATTTGTGTGTATAAGTAATGAACGAAACCCTATAAGCAGGTACTAGCCAGACACCAGGCGTGGATCGAAGGAGACGCCTCACCAACCCCATCCCTAAAAAAACCAGTACAGTGGGGTCGGTGCATAGTGGGGACGGAGCATAGTTGGGTCGGGGCATATTGGGGATGGGGAGGTCACAGGTTTACAGGAATTTTTAAATCTGAAAGTGATAAAATCACTTTCGAATAAACGCTTTGATGCAAATCGGTAGTTAGTATTTTCAAGCCAGTACAGTCCAAACCAAGCACAGTATAAACCAGCAAAGTTAGAAAGTTTTAAATGAAGGTTTTGTATTTACAAATGAGCATCAAAGCGTAAAATAAAGTATTTTCATTTATGACTTAATTATTATTAAAATTTATCTTAATCTGTACATAGTAATAAAATAATGAAATATTTTACACAAAATTAGAGCTACAAGTTGATAAACTAAAAAATTAAAATTAGCACGAAGCAGATTATCTAATATTAGACAATTTAAACAATCAAGCGTGAATCTCTTTAAATGAATAACAGTATAACAATATGCAATACATTAGTTTTCCTTTAAAAAAATTGTGTAATAAAAAATACATTTTGAGGCGGTATACTGCATAAAAACCAACACTTAATCTGAATCCAAAAAACAACAGTCCTCTTCATAATTTGCATGTAGTTGGACCTTATATACTCATAGTTGACCTTCGGTAAGGTTATATAACGCAGTCTATAAAATAACGAGATAACGACAGTGGTTTTGTCGTATCAGAATCATTAAGTGTCTTAATAAGTACACGGATAGGTACACGATTTGGTCGCCTGTGATATCATGTAATAAACACAATATTATGATACCGATCATTGGGCCCTAACCTAATCTAACACGGATAGACGTTACCAACTGATAGTTTTTAGTGTCTGTTCGTTTCTCACATCTGGTACACCGGGTTTTTAGTTAAAAAAAAAATAAATAAATAAATAAATTTGTGTAAACTTTAAGTAAAAAGTGGTACTTGAGCACAAAACCTAATAGTATCATTCTGCATAGATATAAATAAAATTGTTATAATGATTTGATCAATTATTCTTAAAGATTTTAGGTGTTTTTGTTAAAATATACGAAATCTGCGAAAACACAGTTTCCCGGCAATTAAAAAAAAACTGTAGTGCCGAATTTTTTTCCCGTTTAATATGTTATGGGTACATATGAGTTCCAACTACTGGCAAATTTTCAACCCAAAAGTTTTAAAATTACCGCTAAAAACCCGGAAAAACAAAATAAATTGTACCCCCCCCCCCCTAGGGGGGTGGGAAATGGGTATAGTTTAAGTTTGACACAACTGACGTGTGCCGGCATACCAAATAATTATTTCTTATACATTTCAACTTGATCTGACTCTTTTTCTCGAAATTATAGCCAGTAAAAGTTGTAACTTAAAAACTCGTACGGTTTTTTTTTTGTTTTTTCAACTTTCGTCTGTGAAGAATTAAACTTTTTCAAATTTTAACCCCCCACCAAAGTACCAACTAGATGAAATTTGCGATTTATAGAGTTGCTACTCGAAGGAGTTGGTCCAGTATTAAAAAAGTTTCTGTGTATACAGATAAAAAAAAAACACACATCAGAGTAAAACCAATACCTTCTCGCTTTGCATCGAAGCTAAAATATTTGAAAAACCGCAATATATTTATATTGTAACCGACTAATAAATAATTGTATCAAAGAAATATGCTCATACCTTAAAGTGCTCGGCCTTCTAAATGTCTGTATGCGATTGATGAAAGTCACATTTTAATCGAGTTTACAGAATAATGATAATTGTAATAAAAATTAATAAAAGAACACAAATCGTTTTCGCCAAAATTTTCGGGGCGAACAAAATAAAACAGTTTTACCGTATTCGAATGGATAAATTAAAATAAGTACTCAATAAGTATCTTAGCGACCGACGATTAGAAATTCGTTAGAAATATGCGTTTTACACGGAAATGTACAGAGATAATTTTTTTCATGAAATACATTTCATGGAAAAAATAGTTACAGTGAGATTGGAAATTTTAAAATGTTTGTTTCATCGACGCGCGGGAATTGATTTAAAAAAAAATTTTAAAAATAATCGTACGTGTTTAAGTAAGGGAAGAAATATGTTTTTTCAGTTTGATGTCGAATTTTACAATTTAAAATACTATTCTTACAAATTAACTGACATACATTTAGAATTTGAAGCATTTGTTTTTTTCCCTTTAGAATGGTATAGTTCATTTTTTTTTACGTGCTTATTCTGTTATTAATTTGATGTAATTTCTTTTTAATAAAATACATTAATTGCGTTTATCATTAGTCATTCAAAATATTCATAGTTTTAATAATAAGTGTTTCTGTTTAATACGTTATGGATACACATGAATTCTAACTACTGGCGAATTTTCAACTCAAAAGTCCTAAAATTACGGCTAAAAAATCCAAAAAATAAAAAAACTTGCACCTCTCCGGGGAGGGGGGGATAGAAAATGGGTATGATTAAAATTTGAGACTACTTACTTGTGGGGGCATACCTAATAAATATTCCTTATAAATTTTAACTCGATCCAACTCTTTTTCTCGAAATTATAGTCAGTAAAAGTTCAGACTTTAAAACTCTAATGGTTTTTTCAAATTTTAATTATGAAGAAGTAAATTTTTCCAATTTTTACCCCCTTAAAGTACCAACTAGATGAAATTTGTGATTTATGGAGTTGCTACTCGAAGAAATTGGTTCAGTATTAAAAACGTTACAGTGTATACAGTCAAAAAAAACTTTTTTTATAAAGTTTAATAGTAAAAACCTATTTGAGTACAGCTTAAATAAAAAAAAACTCAAAAATGTCTTTATAAATACTAAATTTGTAAAAGAATTCCAAAACGTACCTACTTAAATATATTATAACTGTTATTGTTTATAACTTTGTTTGTTATAATGTATAATAATGTTAATAAGTTATCAGGTATGTCTGATAGTGATAATCCCTCACAGATCTACGCATCCAAGTTTAAAACAATTGACTAGGTATTATAAAATCATTACCGTTTCAACTTTCAGTACCTCTTTCGTGGTATACCTATTATTATATATTAAATATAATAAAAAATCACAAAATATAATAATAATACAAACTATAATAGTTTTGGCATATTAATTATACATACTAGTATGTATATAATCAAATGCTATTAGTAATATATTATCATCTATGATCAATGTGAATGTTAAAATGTACAAAATAATATTATACAAGTTAATAAAGTCTCAACTTACCGATGCGACATGATTATCTCTTTGTCCGATATTTTTTTGCTAGAACGAATTACACATTTATTTACCATTAAAAAAAAAAATTAGAATACGATTTTTTAATGAAAATGTGTTAAACATTTCTTTGTCAGGTATGTTTGTGTTTCATATTACTATTTTCCGTGATATTATTTCTTCCATGGAAGGCCCAACAAATATCTCCATCTCTTTTTAACCATATCGACCCTCGGCTCTCTCTCTCTCTGGTAACGGTCCATTTCTTTATGGGTCCATGTGCGGACCTTATCAATTGTTGATAAGAAAAATTTGAACCATGTACCACGCTTTTGAGCGGTTTGTGATTTCGGAGAAAAATAGGTACAACAAAATAGGTATAATATTGTTCTTTACTGATAGGAAAAACAATGTAAACATTGAAAACCGAATACAGTTCAGATTTCTTACGTGCTTGTTTATTCAGTATACATTTCGGGCATTTTGTTTTTGTACTTCTAATAATCGTTTGTGTTAGTTCATTGACTTCATTCGTATTGTTTGTACTCGCTTATTCAATGCGTTTTTTCGTTCGGTCATATTACTGTATATTACTGTAATATACCCGGAGGATATATTTTGATTTTCGATTTTCAATAATCCAATAATGGAAGTGGTCAACGAAAGTAAGACCAATGTTGTTTGATTTACAAAAATAAATGTACACTACTCATTCAACCGCCTATTGAACTGTTTAGATTTTCATGAAATGCTGCCGGAAATCGAGCGGGCCATCGACGAAGCCGTGTTCATCGCTATCGACGGAGAGTTCACCGGACTGCACAACGGCACTATGGTCAGTGTGTTCGATACAGCTGCTCAGTACTATCAGAAACTCAGGGGAAACTGCATGGACTTTTTAATGGTGCAATTCGGTCTTTGCGCGGTCAAGTATGACACGGAAAACAAAAAGTAACCATTGCATACAATATACAAAGAGACGGTAAATTATTTAAATCGCTTTCATTTACCGTTTGCCCCGTTTTCAATTTTAGATTCACTTACAAAGCGTACAACTTTTATACGTTTCCTAAGCCGATGAGCCGTTACGCGCCAGACTGCAGGTTTCTTTGTCAGTCTTCCAGTATGGAGTTCTTGAGCAACCACAATTTCGACTTTAATAAACTTTTCAAAAACGGTTCGTCACATTTTATATTTTTCAATTTTTTCCTCGCATACCGTCTCGCTTAACGACACTTTTTAGGTATTCCATTTCTCACGATCCCCGACGAGAAAATATTACGTGACGAGTTACTCAATCGTTACAAACAAAATTGTTCACAAGGTCAAACACCGTCCAAGTCGGTCGATATTATACCGATACCAGAAAATCACAAGGCGGAAATAGAAACTGCATGGTAAGTACCATTTAAATGGGTCATAAACTACAATTGTTTGTTATCAATTTTTATACTTCACAGCGAAAGAGTGAAAGAACTTTTGGACGGCAACACAAATTCAGAAGTGGTTGTTGCCGAAAAAACCAATTCCTTTATAAGAAAACTTATTTATCAAGTGAGTTTTGTTGTACTCATTGCGTGTTGTTATATTTAAGACAATTTGTGTTTTTGTAATATGAAAGGAAGTTTATCAAAGATTTTCCGACAACAAAGTAAGTTTACAAACGAAATCGATAGAAGACATGGGAAGCGTAATGGTAGCTTACAAAGGCCGTTCAAAAGAGTTAATGGCCAAAGAAAGGATGGAGCGTGAATTGGCCGAACTGGAAAAAGCAGTCGGTTTTTCGGCAGTATTAAAAAAAATTAAAAATTCCGTAAGTTTACCATCGTTGTAAAATTAGTTCATCGAAATGTTTAACTTTGTTATTATTTTTTCTAAGAATAAACCGATAATCGGTCACAACATGACGCTGGACGTTTGCCATATGGTACATCAGTTTTGTTTTCCGTTACCGGACGACTTTACGGAATTTCAAGAAGTCGTCAAAGTCATATCTCCTTGGTATATTATATATATATATATATATATATTTAAAGTTTTGATTTGGTGAACTACCGAATGTCTATTAATCAATTTATTATTTTTGTTTTAGCTATTTGGATACTAAATATATCAGCGGAACAGAGCCGCTTCGAGAGTATTTCAGCTCGACGGTGTTAAACGATTTAAACAAAGTGTTAAGCGAACACAACTATACCGTTTTAGGTAAAAATACAACTGTGATAATAATTATGATGTTAATTAGTTACACTGATTATGTTACATTACAAAACTCTTCATTTTGTGTTTTTTTTCTTTTTCAGAACCAGAAACACCATCGACCAGTTACAGTGAAGACGTAGACAAGTCTCACGAAGCCGGCTACGATGCATATTTGACGAGCTCTGTGTTTGTCAATCTCTGCAATTTATTAGGTAATTAAATGGTGTGTGACGTTAACAATATTTACAGTTCAACGTTTTTTTTAGCTTTGATGCGAATATCTTCTAAATCGCTGAACTGATTTCTTTGTGTAATGAGTCTATAAATCAGAAATCCTACCTGAAAGGTGCTTTAGACTAAACATTAATTATAAAGTGCATCCCCTTTCTCATTCAAATAATAGAAAAAGATCCAAAAAATTACCAACTTTTTTAAAATAATAAAATTAGTTCCAAATTTGTATGGAATATCCTTTCGATAAAGTACTAACAACAAACCAAAAAAATATCATAAACCCTTTCATTATTATGTTAGGTCTTAGGTCTTACGTAAAAGAAACGATGGCAACAAATTTATTTAGACAGGCGATCGACCCTAATGTTATTTACCTTAACACTAATATTAATTTTTAACCACATAACTGTTGTCACTATAATAGTTTTATCGATACTTCCTTATTTGCCATCTCTCAGATTTGCATCAAAACATTTACTTACAAGTGATTTTTATTTATTTAAGTTGTAATAATTCCTCAGGCAATTGGCCAAGTTTGTGGAAGTCTTATTATTAAAGAAAAAAAAAGTAATTTAAATACATTTTCGTTAATTTTTTTTCCAGGCAAGGTGAAAAAGTTTGACGGTCAAGTACTACCCGATTCTTCCTGTCTCAAGTCTTACATGAACAAGTTAGTTATTTTATGTATTTTTTGTTATTATCTTTCATCTATTTCAAGCTCTAAACTACTTTATGAAAAAATAAAAATAAGTTACATTAGCAATATATTTATATATGATAAAAAAAGTGAGCTCAATTACAGGGTGGTTAGGTCAAAATGTATGTTTTATTGTACAATTTTATTTAAAATATTTTTCAACAAATCTACCTATTGGATTTCAATGATTAAATTGAGTTAGTAAAAAAAAAAAAAGTATCTTTTCTTATAAAATCATTCGGTATATACTTATATTAGTTTGGGTCGGTCAGGTTTAGATGTTTTTAAATAAGTTACATTTGGATTCGGTTCGAACTCAAAAATCATGGTTTGTCTCATCTCAACAAATAATCTAAATACTAATTTAATATATTTTTGTTCCATAGGCTATTCATGATAAGATACAACGAAGATCCTTGTCTGAACTTGAGCGGAAAGGAACGTGAGTTACACATTTGATTGAAACGTTAGTTTTGTTTCTTTTTGAAATGTTAAATAACACAATATTATTTGTTTTTATCGTAGCTCAATTGCAAAGATCGCACGTCTATCACATCACGTTTCCGCAAGAATGGAAAACTATCGACATTACCAACGTGTTTAGTCCTTTCAGTGAGTTTTCAGCAAAAAAAAAAAAAAAAACCATCCCAGCTGTACTGTTAAATAACGGTTTGGATGTTTATTTTCTTACAGCTAACGTGTTTATCAAGTACATAAACGACACATCGGCTTGGGTGGCGTTGCGTGATCCGACTCAAGCGAAACCGATGAATAAAATCCTACCGAAGTTACAAGCTCTCCACAAGGACATTGTGCTGGTGCCGTGGACGTCGTTGAACAATGTCAAACATTTGGCGGCCACAGCGTCCAAGAGAAAAATTGACCAATGCTCGTCGTCGCCGCCCAAAGACGACGTGGATGCGACAACAAACAGCCACTCGACCGACCAATCGCCGGAAAAAATCCAGCGTGTCTCGAAAGGGTAACGATATTCGTCGAGTCGTTTCGGTGCGATATTTTATTGTTTTTCGTTTTTTTTCACAGACGAAGAGTATCGAAAGGAGGAAGTATAAGTCCGATAATGGAAGCCGACGAGTCTGTCGAAGAAATTGGTAAGTTTTTCCGTAAGCCAATAATTTGGCAAACAACGCTATAACATATTATGTGTTTAACATTGTATATTTTTTTTTTCAAATTGACGACTCGATTAGAAACCGACGTATCTGCGGTGTCCAACGTTAGCTCGGCCACCTCTTACAGCAGTGCGGGGACAGCGACGCCGAGTTATGCACAAACGTTGAAAATGAACAAGTCTTCCGACACGGCCGAAATCAAAACTATTTTCCCGGTCGCTTCGTGGGATTAATATCTCGATATTATAATACTATAATAATATTTTACTAACGTTGATCTGTAAATACAAATATAATACGTTTATAAATGTGTTGAATTTATTTTACTGAATAAATTGCCCTTAAATGTGTTCAAAAAAAATACAAGCTTTATTTTCAAATCGTAGTAATTCCTAGTTAAGTGAAACTGTTCTGTTTTTTTTTTTTTTGGAAAAAGTATCTTATCGGGTGAAATGTACTTACTCGTAATTGCCACTACCATACAGTGTAAACGGTTTTTTAATTAACTAGGAAATACGGTGACGGGAAAACGCAAAAGACTATGTATACCCTTATTGTTAGTTTAACTTTTAAAATGTCCATTAAATAATTATTTTTTTATTTTTTTCTGTTCTTCTCTTAACATTATGTTTCGTGAGGTAAAAAATTGTTCCCCTTTATTTAATTAAATATTTAATAGCATTTTTTATACAAACAACATCTGCACTAAATTAATGTACTTTTCATACTCTTTTTTTATACTGATGGTTTTTTTTCAACAGTATAAAAAAAATAAGAATAAACTAGTATTTTTTTTTTTTATGTATAACAAAAAAACTACTATTGAAATAATAATTCAGACCTTAGAAAGTAAAATGTATGAAAACATTGATAAAGTAACCGTTGAATAGTACCCTAAAATATTTGTTTTAAGGGTTGAAAATACTTTTAAACTTATTTCTCATTTAATGCGAAGAAATCTGATGTACTAACATAACATAGAATTCCTGCAGTAGATCAAAATAAAAATTATGTTAAAAAATAAAAACAAATTTTATATTTTTTGGCATTATGATTGATTAAATAAATAAATAATTATTTAAATAAAAATTGTAATAAATTAAAAATATCAATTTAATTTTAAATAGAATTGTATTTTCATCTGAACGCACCTTTAATAATTTCAAATAAAGTTTCATTTTGGCAAACTTAAATACATTACAGATAAATGAATAATTAAAATAGATTTGTATTATTGGATATATTATGACTTATTGTTTTTGGAATAAATTATAAATTAAAACAAAAATAAAATATAAATGCATAGACACATAGATACTAAATAAATAAAAAAAAATAATACAAATTGAAAAATGATGTACATATATTATTACAAATTATGTATTATATAATTTATAATATATACATGTAGTTAAACATCTAACAAAAGCACAAACAAAATTTAAAAAAAAATGTTTTATTTATTTACAAAAATAAAGTAATAATTAAAACAAAACTATTTAAGTAAAGGTTCGAATAAATATAAAAAAAAAATATTAAATTAATCAAACATTTTTTTCAAAAAAAATAAATGAATATTAATAAGTTGTAATCAGTAATACATTTTTACAAATAATATGTTATTTTAACAGCGAGAACAATTTTGTTTAAATCAAAGTATTGATTTACTTTTTTTAAGTTATTTATCAAACTATACAAAAATATTATTTTAATGATTCGATGGCCCATTGCACACTTGTTATAAGTGCACTATTTTCCAAAATACTCTTTTTCATACCAATAGACAGAAAATCGAATGCGCTTTATTTAAATTTTTTTTTTTTATAAAACTCAAATTTATATTTGTATTGTGACTTGTACACTTACAATGATAGACATTTGTAGTACAATTTTATTAAAAGTGCAAAGTAATTTCCTCTCCTGCACAAATTTGTGACTTGTAACAAGCGTTCACTTAGCCGTCGTTATTGTATTCATAGATAAATAAACAAATCATTAGGTGTAGATTTTGTCTTTTTTATGTTGTTAAAACCATTTAAATTCCACAAAAAAAAAAAATAGGAAAATTCTAGGCATAAGAAATACTCAAGAAAGATACAATTAAATTGTACAATATATTATTATTATTATTATTATTATAATGCACGTGTACCATCATAAACTGTACAATTTCGTTCAATCTGATGCTATTTTTATATCTATATATACTTGACCGTTTGTGGGCGGATAGTGTGATTATAATATTAATGGAGGTGCCGGCGGTTCATCAGACTTAAACAGGACACGACCGTTATTATTATTATTATTATTATTATTACTATTATCATCATCATCGCACACACACTGCTATTATTACCGATTGCGAATTTATAATATAAATATATAGATCAATCCGTGTGCACTCAAATCCCGGTTATTCCGGTTTTCGGTTCACAGTAGATAATAATTAAACAATCACTTTGCACGACTCAAGATCGTAAAGGTAAAGGCTATACCCAACATGAACCTGACCACTCCTGTCCATTGTTTTAATTTGAAATTTATCAGCGGTGCCAGGCACAGATACAGCACACCTTATTGGCTTGTACAAGTCCAAATTTGGGTAGAATTTTTTTTGAGCCAATCCTCTCATCACATATATAAATAGGGTAAATCCAAAAAAAAAATGACAAATTTCTAACAAAACAATTGTTTTAATTTAAAAATTAGCAATTCCCCTTCAAGTTGAATGTCAAACCTATACGTGCAAATTTACCATTATTACCACTTTTAATGTAAGTAGTTTAACCTTTAATTAGGTATGTATTGTTTTATGGAAATAGGAAACTCCATAACACCCCCTACAACCCCTACAAGAGTTGATTAATCAATTAAGTGATTTAATTAATAACGTTGGGGTGTTTAGAGTTAACCCTGAATGAGTTATTAAAGGTTAATAATTTCGAGGAGGCTGTAGATGACTTGGCTCCCCTTAATTTCCATATTGAGTACCTATAAACATATGCTAAGAGACATTATATATTATGGACAGGTATAAAAAACACTTAACAGTATTAATTATTCCACAAAATAATACTACTGAAACGTTGGTGCCATTTTAACGTTAAAATAGGTATATACTACACCTTCAAGTTGGATATTCAATTCCCACACCATCGTTTAGTATTTGCATTGAAACAATATTTTAACGTTTGTAGTTTAGTGTTTTTCAATAGTGTTTTAATACAAAAAAAAAATGTACAATATTAGATTAGATCCTACTGCAATACTATTAGTGTCCAAATAGTCTTATGTCAAACAACTGAATACCTGAAATACTGAAATATGTTTTAACATAAAGTCTACCCAGTGGTGTACCAGACAAGTATAAGATGTCAACACGTCTTTGGATATATTTTTGTTTTTGTAAATCGACGTTAATATTATTTTAAAATACCGTTGTTTGGTTATTAATCACATACAGGTATGGTCAGCTGAAGGTCTGTCCGAGCGAGCCATGGGATTTCTAAGGGCATTGCCACTATTTTCAATATCCGGGTAAATGCCTATTGAAACCCCACGGCTCACGAAATGGACTTTTTCGGGTTTTCTCGAACAGCTACCGACGGCTTCATTGACGCTAAAAAAATAAAACAACAACCAGATGCATATAAACAATTAATTAACATTACATATAGTGTTACATTCATTAAACGCCGTTCACTTATCTGCAGAGCAGTAAGTATCACGTCTGTCCAAAGACACAATACAATACACACAATAATAATATATGCCAATGTCATGGTCCTATTTGGGCTGGCATATATATTGTAATATTGCACAGGTCGAGGGTTTTCCCGGCCGGCCAACAACCCATTCAATGGCAAACAGTCATTGACTGTTATATTACTATGAAAGCTGTTAACGCACACGGATCTAGGAATTATTGTGAATAGATCAGACAGGACAACGACCGGCGCCGGGTAACACCCACGAATTTGGCAAGTGCAACGTTCAACAGGTTTGTTCGGACAAACTTGCATAGATCAAAAAGTATAGTCCATATTTTTAAAGAAGTCCAATACAATACATTTATATAATGTCTTATGATTAAACAAAATAATATATTTCACAACGCTCGCCCAACTCGGTATTATCTTTTACATTTCACTCACCACCATCTGGAGACGTGGTCAGAACCCAAAAATCTACAGTTTGGACATTGAAAATCCGACAATAAGGCATAGGCGCAAAAACAGCTGTGTAAAGACACTACTAAACCAAAAGTTATATGCTCAGGTTTTCAACATACGACCACTGATTTAATTTAACTGAATAAGTACTTAATTTGGAAGTTTGGAAGTCGACTATGCATGATTATAGTAAGACAATGTCAATGGCGGACACAAGGGAGGGGGCAGTGGGATTTGAAGCTCCTCCGTTAGGTACTTAAGTTGTACGCATCAAAAGTGTATTTTATATTATAATCTGTGTAAGAATACATTTTTTTTTCTAGCCTCCCCCCATTTTTTTTATTTCTAGAAGACCATAGTATAAAGGAATATTTGGTTGGAACATATTGTGTAAGAGCAGAAAATTTAGAATTTCCATCAAGGGGATGTGAGAATAAGGAAAGTGGAGTCCTACGGCAGACAGTATGGTAGGCGCTTTTAATGTACTGAAATCCAAAAAAATTAGCATAACAATAATACCGTCAAAGCATTGATGTACATAAGCCCGTATCGGATTGCAACGCTAATTAGTAAATTATAATTAAGGAAAAAACGGATAAGAACACCATTGTTGCAGACAATGTTAAATATTTTAATGTCTGTACGTCCAAGGTCATATTATATTGATAGGAGAATGCGAATTAAGAATCCGGATCCATCCGCTCCCAATTTTTTTTTTTTACAATTTTTTATCATTTCACTCGAGGCATTTAATGTATTATGTCTATTGCATCCTGCTTCACGCCCAAATCGTATTGCAATCTATTTTTTACATGCAACTTAAACGATCACTGCTCAGACAAAAACGTATTGTTGCAAAAATGTAATATGTAGATATTGATTTAGTTATAATATGTTGCTTGTACTATAATTATAATAACTCGTGTATACCTATTATATTTTATTGTGTAGCCGCTGCTTTAATAGCATATTATTATGTTGCCGACAAGCCATTACTTAATGGAGCAATTTTTTTTAAGTATTTTTTAAACAACTGTTTCATCGGGATGTGACAATTATCGTGTTATTACAATAATAATTATTGTAGTCTACCAAAGGATTAAAAATAGGTTTTGATTTTATGGTTTTTGGCGCAGTGCTCGCTTTACATTAGCCGAATAAGTAAAATATTATGAAATAAGCGAAAAGACTAGCTACAGTGTGACCAGAATAACGAAATTGAATTTCCCTAGTACATATTTTTTAATTTTGTTCACTTTTATGTGATATACAAACCATAATGTGTCTTATTAGTTATCATACTATTAATTTATCATGTGGAATTTGAATTTATCAGCAATTTTGAAAAGAATGTATTTATTTTTATTTAAAATGGTCATACTGTCGCTCGCCTTCTCGATTATTTCGTTTCTGAGTACAAGACCTTTTTTACATGATGTTACAGCTCTGTTTATTTTTACTTTTTCAACTAGCCACAAGGCAATTAAATTGTACCATCGTTCTCAGTTCCGAATCAATCGCAATCGACTTTATTAGCAATCCTTTATCAATGGCACAGTCTGGATCATGAGGTGCTGCTACAAAGGTATGTAACAAACACAATTTAAGTTCCCAAGAGATTGTTTAATACATTTTTTTTTTTAAGATGGAAATTTAATAATTAAAAGTATTCGCATTGGCTACAATAAACTACAAAATTGGAAAATAATTTACGATCCATTATAAAAAAAAAGAAACAGTACATAATAATTCTCACTTGAAGTGTTGTTCGTGATACAGAGCTAGTACAACAGGCGTGTGTCGTCTGGTAAGTATAACTTCCACGTTGTTTTCTATAATAACCAAAACTGATTTACAACTTCACGACGGACCTACACACAAGAACACAATATAATATGCTATAATGTAGTGTACACCGTTTAACACCGCATCATAATATTATACTCACTTCGTGCAGATTAAAAACAAAAATAAAACACATTACAAGACGTTCAAAATGCTTGCCAGTTTTGCCGCCATGAAAAGTAGAAAATTAAACAGCTAAACAAGCTACACGCTTTCTCGGGGTTGCAGCAATAAAACCCACAAGTCGTGTGCACATATTGTAGAGCATGACAACAACAACTGGAAAAACACACTACACATAGATTGCAAAATAATAGTAATAATTATTATCGTCTTCTGAGCCGTCATAGTGTTTAATAAAGGTTAGTAAAATTTAAAAAAAACGATCACCTTACAATATTAAGTATACAGTAATGTTAAAAAGTAGAGTGCGAATATAATTTAAAAAAAAAAAATCATTGGAGATAAACCCGTTTTATCAAAATATGGTTATAAACAAAAAATGTCTTAAACGTGGGCTTTATCGTTTAATTAAGAACTCTATTGATTTAGTCACGTGTAAATTATCTAATGTCTTTAATTGTTTATAACGTCTTAAGGTGTTCGCCGATGGGCTTGCTGGTATTTGGGACTTAGCAGGCCAGTAGGACTGAGTAACTCGTTTATGTGTCGACCACCGTTGGTCCGCTAAATCCCTAACACCAAACATGCACTGCGTCCCTGCGAAAATCGACGACGACGGTCAGCTGAAGGACTTTGATGATCAACCTGTTGACAAAAAAAAAAAACCATCAAATTAAGTGAAAATTCGATCACAGAACCACCCATAGTACACAAAAATCAGGGCGATTGTTATTAATATGGTGAATAAGCTATATACTTTCCAATAAAACATAAATAATATATATGCATTTTCCAGTGTATAAAAATGCACATATTATTGTGTGTTACATTGTTTATAAGTGCATTAAATACTCAGCTCTGCTTACAACCAACATTTTACCTTTCAAAACATCTTACTGGTAATCATTTAATAAAAAATTAACAATTTCTGTCAAAAAAGTAAGGTTGCTTTTTGAAATTGTTCACTACTGGCAGATTTTAAATTTTTGGCGCCCTGGGGCAATGTTTATTTGGCATAAGAGCAAATTCGTTTTAAGAGATAAGGTAGATTTTTTAAAAAAGGGTTATATTTTCAATACAAATGTACATAATATTTAACTTAAAATTATAATGACAATGGCAATATAACGAAAACGAATTACAATGAAAATTAAAGTTAAGTATAAACATATTAAAATAGAATTTTAATAACTTAAACATAGGTATAGTAAAATAATACATTTTTTTTACGCAAATTTTGCTTTACAAATATACTAATAATTTCGTCATAGTTTGTATCCATGGTGATTTCAGATTCAATAGAAATAATAATTGATAAATTACTATTAAGAAGGTTATCAGTCAGTGTTGATTTTATATAAGGCTTAACTCTTTTCAGTGCAGAAAAAGATCTCTCTGCTGAACAGTTGGAAGTTGGACAGCAAAAATACTTCCTTAATGCAATGTATAAGTATGGAAAAAGATCATGTAGTTTATCAGTCCAGACCATTTTATAATCAATTATAAGCAAGTTATTTACAGATAAATTCGTTAAGGAACTTCTGAATTGTATACATTCATTAGCAAATGAAGAAGAAAGGTAATTTGTATACAAGTTTTGTAGTATTTCTGATGGTGATAGTTATATTATTTGAAACTAAAAGTGAAATTTTTTATTAGCTTCGTCATAGTAAAATATTCTTTTTTCTTGTTCTGAATATAGTCTGTAACAGACTGTCTGTCAATAAAAGTATAGTAGAGTTTATTATTAAAACATGTTGGAATAATATATTCTTTTAGTTTACTGATTTGCTTACTAAAACCACTACAACTTTCAATTTATAAATTATAAAATATGTATTCAATTTAGCAGTTTTTTTAATTATTCTAGCATAAGCTAAAATGTTAGCTTGAAGCTTTTTGCCGTTTCCTGCCCAACTAATATAGCCTGGGGTTTTTTTTTTTTTAACCATCGCTGTTTTCAAAATGTACAGCCATAAATGACCAATGCAACATTATAAACATAACGTTAACAATCTTGAACAAAACAAAAAAACTAATAATAAACATCTTACCGAATAAAATGCATTAGAATCGAATATTAACTGTTATGAATATGTGGATTTTCTTCCTACAAGTCATATTTATGTGCATAATGCAAAATATGACATACATACCTTTATAGCTTCAAAGACGACCTTAATAAATTAAACAGTATCATAGAACTATTCATGTGTAAACAATATATATACATATACATAAATATATTATATAAAATTAAAAACTAAAGCTCATGCTACAAAAGTAATGATAGTTAAAATATCATTGGGCTGCAATATTTTAACGATTAATTAATACATAATTAAAAGAAAAAACAGTGTCGTAATTTTATCACTTATCCATAGCAATCCAATACCCTTGCCCCCCCCCCCCCAAATACATCCATGACAACTGGGAGACTGCCATATTGTAAACAGTTATTGGTTTTTTCCATAATTTATCAAATATAATATGACGGTGTTATCATAATGTCATGGAAAAGAAACGCAATATTGTTACTTTCCATGAAATTGTACACAACATGGCAACGTCCTACTCTATAAGCCTTAGGAGATAACGTGTAACTAATTGAATGATTTTCTTACCTTCCAAACAACTTATTTGGAATTGGCAGTGATGTTTTATATGTCGTAATATAAACTCATAGAAGCATTCCGACTAGGAACATCAATGTGAGTAAGTACACGATTTGGAATACTTCCAACGTATCAGAAACAATTTGTAATGATTATCTTTTATGGCTTATTTAAATTGTTTTTTTCTTCAAATACTTAGACTACAAAAAAAAAAACATTATATGGTACACGACCGTTGAATGAGTACAAGTTACAACTCAATTTAAATGGAAATTACTCGCGCACAGAGTTTACAGTACCTACAAATTATGGTAATTACAAAAACGGCTAAGTGATTTTTAAAAGAGCACAATATAGGTAATGTTTTATTTATAAATTATAATTGAACTATTATTGACGTTTATAAAAATAGCACGATATTATCATATTGGTGTTGAAAACAATTATGATATATTGAGCCCCCAAGCAATGAGTATAAGCAATCTTGATGGTCGACATCCGGTTAGAAGGACCAATTAATTTTCATTTGCTCGCTTATTGATTTATATTGAAACGGTACCGACAATTTGCTGTGTTGTTCATTTTGTATTGACTATATTAAATTGTTTTCTATTGTCACTATACCGAGAGTGCTTAAAAAACATAACATACCTTATGTGGAAATATTATTTTAATACATCATAATTTTATTAAAATAATACATTTTGCGAAATATAAAGATTTTCACAGCCGTCTATAAAATAATTAAATTATATCTAATTAATGTTTTTTTCAATTATGCAATTTTTCTTGTAGATCAGGTCACACGGGTGAACTAGCGTGATGCAAACGTAATAAGTAGTGGGTTTTTGTTTTTTATATTTTATTGGGTTCCATTATCACTCGACTGTGCTAAACAAGTTGTTAACCTTACAAAAGTAACACTCTAATTACATAAAGTAAAACGGCGTTTTAAATTCAACTAAACGTATTTTTTTACATTTTCACAAACTACAGTTATGCAAAACTGTGCCCTAAACCTTATTATTATTATTTATAAGAATTCCCTTTTATATTTTTACCTATCTATTGAACAGTTTTAAAATAATTGTTATTTTAAATTATTAAATTGAAACTTTTTTTCTTAAAAGTTATCAAAAGTTCCTCTGGAAGTTTTTTTCACAATAAAAGCTAAATTTGAACTAGTTAATATTAATTAGGCGAAACTGTATTACTAAAAAATGGGCTTAGTAAGTTTTTTCATGCACTATAAATTACAGGAGTTAACCATAATATTGTATATACCTTAATCATAATTATGTGTACTACTAATTCATATGAAAATATCTATGAGATTTTTGTAAAATTTAAAGTCTTAAATTTGAATAAGTTTTGGTATACCAACATTATATTTTTTTACCCACTTAATAAAATACACTAATACACGGAAACATTCCTTTCTCAGACATACCGACTACTAAGACTAATGAGTAGATAAATAATAATAGTAGTTATTTCATGGTTGCTAATATAAAATAAATACTAAGAACTTACTAATATCAAATTAACCACCGGGCATCGCTTATTCATTTTATCTAGCTATAAATTGTAATAGTAATAAATAATAATGAATAGATCAAACGTATAATACAGCACTAGCCTAATAATAGTCTGGTGATTATAACAGTAATTACCTGTATTTGTTTAAGTTTTTATTAATTGTAGCTGTACAAGTAGGTATAAATCTACTAAAATATAAAAGCATTTCTTATTATTGTACTAGAATATTATCTTATAACGTTCCCAAGCCTGTGTATCTATTTATATACTTAATTTTGTTTTATATTAGTGCAACTACTAAGCTGGAAATGTTCTCTTATATAATTATTTATTACTTATTCTACCTAAACCATATAAACATTATCTTTTTAGTTCCTTCCATTTTGTTTGGGTTTCTCTTACATTTTAGTGTTCAACATTTTGTCATGAACTAGATGTAAACTATTTATATTAAAATTAATTATATTTTACAAAACTAGTTACAACAAATTATTGTTACTACCGATCAATTGTTTTTCTGTAATAATTATACAATTGAAAACTGATGAAAACACATTCGGGGAATAGGCATAATATTGAAAGTATTTTAAGCAAAAACTAATTGGCCAGATAAGATGGTCTAATTAAAATCAATACTGCTTGAGATAAGAATATTTGCTTTACTGTTAACTATTACTTTGCTTTATCATTTACGTTCACTGTAATAATTAATAATATAATAAGCAAGTGTACTTTAATTGGTGTGTTTTAGAATTTTTGTTTTTTCGATCAAGTTAATTTGTTTAATGAACTCTCCTGTGACTTAGTGATAATGGGTGGTTTATTTTATGGTTTTTGGATTATCTCACGGTCGACTGTTGGACGTGAAGTACTATGGACCGTTACGTTTAAAATAATAATATAGTGTTCATTTTTTTAATTATTAAAAACTACATAAACATTAACGCGAGCTCCTAATTATATAATTATGCACTGATAAGAATGGATCAGTTTTTAAGGGAGGATCAGCCCATAAGGGTTAGAAAAAATGTAGAAAAAGGTAATGAACAAAAAAACAAAAAATAGAAAGGTTAATCATGAGAGAGAGAGGTAAGAAGAGATTTTTGTAGGGTTAAATGTGAACATTTTTATATTCCCAACTTTAATTAGGTGTTGCAACCCAATGTCAAAATTTTAAGTACTTAACTCGTTTGTGAACCGATAAGATAGCTAGCGCCTTTTCATATCCAGACTTTTCGGTGCACTCACAGATTGTACCTATTTCGTTGGGAATTTAGGGATCTATATAGATTTTCTGCATGATTTACTGAACTTGAAAAACCTCTGTTATCGCATGAATTTTTCAGCCAGGATATGTCTAAAAATCAGAAGTTTACAGTGAAAGCAACTATCTGGTATCTTACAGTGTAACTTTTAATACTTTTTATTACTTTTAATACTAGGTTTGGCAAACTTACTATTCGTTTTCCCCATTAAAAGCAGAATAATGTTATGAAAACAATGGTTGGTCGATAACCAGTTTTGAACAGATACTTCTGCGGAGCGGATAAGTGTAGTAAATTAAACTGAGATTACAGCCACGTCTAATAACTCAACTCCCAAGAAGTATTTATTAAAAACTGGTTACTTATCTCATTTTCATTACACCGTTCTACTTTTAACGGGCGAATAAATAAACATGTAGGCTGCTATTGGACTTTTAATAGTTACACGTTGTGACACTACCATTTAAAATTGTATTTGAAGAAACCATTTTAAAATAGGAATTCCTCATGCTGCCCATAATGAATTGTTATTGTTTTATTAGATTATATTCAAACAGTTTACACGAATACACATTAGCCAAGTCCTAATAAAATGTTATATCTTTTGTCGGCGAGCTCAGTATATAAGTGATAAAATGTAAAGCATTTAATGTAAAATAAAACCAGACGAAAGGAATCATTCGGTCCACTTAAGTTTTGTTAAATCTCCATACTCTGTTTATTTTTTTTTTTTCATTACAATAATATCCGCTTTATGATTATCATTATACAGTCATTAGTGTCGGGTAACCGAACTGCCGTTATATTTAATTAATACATTGCTTACATCATAAAATTGTAATTAAATTGAACTAATTGTATTATTGTTGTTAAGCATTATCGGTGTTCCAGAAATGAATATTGTGAGTTACTGTAATATAAAGTATAGACAGTCACGGATGTAGCGGTTGAACAATTACTATATTATTTAGATATTATTATTAGTATCATCGTCATATAACCATCGTATACAAACGTACAGGTAAACCTTGAGTGTAATACTTAGCATAATAATATTATATTACATCTTTTAGTGTATAGGTATCGCCGGTTTGACTGTCGATTGTTCAAACGAGCGTGTTAACAAGTTATTACAGTTAAAATATATACATTTTTTTTTGTTGCTATAAGTGGACTTAAATAGTTATGATTGCCAACCAAAGTGGGCCAATCCACCCCAATGCCATGAATTTAGAATGACAGTACAACAGTTTGTAGATAGTTTGAACATTCATTTTGAGAAAAATGCCTGGATATAAACGCACACGTTGGAACAAAATATAATGACAGAAACTAAAACAAATGGATGCAATTTAGAAAACGATCTACTAAGTAAGCCTATGAAGTTGATGGCCCGAAATGACCTAAAACGCCTGCCAGAATGTCCTGAGTATGGCCAGTGAAAAATTCTAAATAAGACAAAACTTACTGGGGGGGGGGTTTATTAAAATGAAAATGTTTTTGCTAAAAACAATTAGCTAAAGGAGAAATTCATAATGTTAATTACTAAAACATTTCATAAAAAGAGATTTTGTCGTAATACTTACAAAAAAATTACATTAAAATATTTAAAAACAAAAACTGTAAAAGATGTTTAAACTTTTTGTGGATATTTAACATGATAATTTTTAGGTTGTACAAAAATCTTTAAAAGTAGATAAATCAACCGATTACTGATTAAAAAAAAAGGCAAAATGCATCAAATTTGTACTTATAATTAAGTTATAACAGTAAATGATTTTTTTTATACTATTTTTAAACTTAAAATTAAAGAATTACAAAGATTTTTATCGGTAGCGGTGTTAATGCTTTAAACGAGAATGTCTTATTACGCTCAAACCAGTGTGTCCCGGTTATTATAAATCTTTGTGGACGAATATATAATATTATTTTTTTTTTCTTTACAACTGGTTGCCGTTACAGCTGTTTTATTCGTTGCGGCGTTAATTATTATGATAATATAATTTATGCATTTCGCTTCGGAATTTTATTTTTGCATTATTTAACCTAACCGTCATAATGAAATGGATAGCGGTGGTTTGCTTCCAGACAAGTTAAGTGCTCCGTGCGCACGACCTTGTCCGCTTGTATATTATCTGATCGTTGAAATTGCTAACGGCGGGTCCATTTTAAACAGTGGAGGCGTGTGAATGTGCATAATAATTATATTATACTTACACGGCACAGTAGATCTGAACTCACCACAGCTTAAAGTAATATCATCGCAAAGATCAACACCGTTAACTACCGACTTGTAGATTCTAGATGACTATTTATTTTTATCTTTTTTGGATTGCTGATGGAATTTGCCTCGGTTTTGTTGGGTTACCAAAGCGGTTACCTCGATTCCAACGTTCTCATTGGTTATTAAAATATGTGATAACTGATGAGTAATTGTATTTTTTAATTTGTCGGCTTGTTATTATTTGGCATTTCGTTTTACTTTCTTTAAACTTTTCGATTTACGTAAATAATTTATATATAATTTTTTAACACACCGTTTAGATAATCTATACCTTTTTAAAAATCCTTTGCCGTTAATGTCATTAAAATAATTTGTTCTATTTTGAAGGCCTAAAAAAAAGTAAGTAGTGATAAGAATTATTTCCATTGTTATACTCAGGAAAGGCAAGTCATAATAATATTATCTAAATTACAAAATACAATAAATTATGATGTATGAATCTATAATGCAAGTCTATGCCATTCCTTTTTACCTGATTTAACTACATAAAATACCCGCTTACCTAATAGAGGGTTATCGAATTTTCACTAACTAATTGTTAAATGTAATTGACAATAAGTTAAATTCTTAACATATGTCGGTGAAACCGGCTGAATATGTGTTAAATTTAATCCCATTCGGTTCTGGTATTATAATATTATGCATTTTGCATTTTATAATATTAGAATTCATTATTTTTTTTTTTTTTTAATAAAATAAAATGCAGAACCTACCGGCTACACCTGGCCCAATGGCTTTGGCGACCGATGCACAATGCACATTATGCACTTACTCGGCTTGGAATAAAACACACCGACTCATTGTATTTGCAGTCCGAACAATAACTTTTGTTTTGAGCGAAAAACGCGTCGGGTAGGAAGGTAGGACGTGACTACATATACCGCGAACTAAGTCTAGACTGGAGCAAAATCATAATAATAATAATGATGTGAAAAAACAAATTGTGAATAAAAACAATATTATTAAGGGAGTGAAGAAAACCTCACTTTTTTCCTATTGTTCAATATTTCCTAAATGGGTTTTGCATCCGCATACTTTAATAACCCCTCATAATACTTGCACCATCAGAGACTATGTTCTCAATTATTATATAAAATTATTTATATTGATATATATGTGTGTGTATTTAGTTATAAATTGTGTATATAATATAAGTAATCAATGTCTAATATACATAATACTGTAGGTAATACATACAACATACAATGCTGTAACCATAAGTAAAATAATTAAACTAAAAACATTGAAAAAATGTCTTTTTAAAAATGTATTCCTATTCCACTTTGTTTCAAATTTTATCAAAAATAGGTCACTCAAAATGTTCAACTCTGCGTATGATGAGTTTGTATGTACAAACTAGAATATAGTGTAGACTTCAATTTTATAACTTTGGATTATTTTATTTTTTATTTTCTATATTATGTTGTACTTTCCTGTTAAAAAACGGTTGATTTTTTATAATAATTTTCAAATGTCAAAGAAAGCATTATTGAAATCTCAAAAAATCCAGTAGGGGACCTTTTAAAGATTCATTGTTTACCCTATACATTAGTCTAAGGTTTGACAAAAATGTCCATTAAATACAATTTGTATTAGTGTGAACAGCTTAGTACCTAAAAAAAAAAAGGGAAAAAATGTTTCCAAAAAAGTATAAATAAATAAAGCCCATTTTAAAATACTTAAAAATAATTTTTCAACTATTTTTAGTACAATCATTTTTGTTTAGCCAACTTTAACAAGTCTGTAGAGGAAAAAATAAAATTGTAATGTTTGAACCCCTGAAGACCTAGAGGACTTCTTTAAAATTGTCTCAAAAATTAAAGGTATAAAGTTAAAATTTTAAAACTGGTTCAAAATACAAATAAGATATGTGGGTCATTTCACCGTAAGCGGTACTACTAGTAAATCATGAATCATTGTCATTATTTTTTGGCATGTCTCAAAAATTGTCCATTTAGAGTGTAATGAGGTCAGCCAAATTCGTCGATCACAATCATTAATATTATGCTTTAATAAAAAAAAAGGTAAACAAATAAATGTACAGCCATTTCCTCACAGCCTGTCACCGACCCTTTCAAGGCCTCTCCTAACATAGTGATAGGTTATTTAAGAAAAACGACATTGAAATAGTATGACAGCATTGTTTGTTAAATGATGGATTTTTTGTCAGATACCATTTCAATTAATAGTAAATTATGATAAGTGAACACTTTTTGAAATTCAGCGGGTTTTAAATAACATACTAATAACAACAAAATTGTATTTAAAATAAAAATGTATACAATTTTAGTCTTTGCTAAATTTATATGACTAATAATTATAAAAATCAACTATTTAGTTTAGAATAAATTTACATAATTAACATGAATATTATGTTATTGGCCTTGATACAAGAAATGTTAAGTCACCATTTTTGCGTCACACCTTCACTTTCAGCTAGAGATAAGAGATAAAAGATAAGAGATTAGAGATAATAAATAAGTGATAAGAGATAACATACACATGATTAAATGTTTTTGAAATGTATGATTTAACCAACAGTAAGAGTTTTAATTGAACAAATTTTTCCCTTTTAATAAACCAATGAAAAACTTGACTCTAAATTTACTAAATCATAATCGGGACTGTGTGCAATATAGTGTTGTAAAATATCAAAACTACTTTAACAATATATTTTATTAGGGGTTTTAAACAAAAAGGAACTTTTTTCCCCTGACTTCACAATTATTGCCATAATGAAATTAACTATCGTAGGAATTTGTCTTCTTTCAAAAGTAAACAAAATTGTGACTTAACGCGTTTCATATATAAACGATTCGCTTGATGTTACAGTATACGAAATACTAACAATTATTAATTTGTTTTTTCTTTTTAAATACAGCAACCGGGCTGTATGATTTGGTATGGATTGTCGTAGCATCATGACCAGAATGCACAACTTAATAAATATCGCTCAGCGCGTTGTCTATCCGTTGAAACGAATGCACGCGTTGCATGTATTGACTTTACAATATTATAGACAGTGCTTATCTGCAAAACGGTTGTCGATTTCCCGCCGTCCGCGGGGGTACCATCGTCCCGGTTCATGGGCGGGCGGATGGTAGACTCCCCCCGTTGACAGCGGGAATCCCGCATGAAATCGGTTGCCGTTTTCGTGCACAGCGTTGCGCCGCTTATTCGCTTGTACAACAATCAACGGTAGGTATATTGAATGGTTTGGTATTTGAATTCTGGCCGTGTGCACAAGAGAGCGTGTCCGCGGGTGGACATTTTCAGTAAAATGTCGGCGAAAACAGGTTATGGCAACGGATCGGTTGAAAATCCACAGACACCTATATAATATGTGCATAATAATATTTTATTGTGTTGTGTGTTAAGCGTTAATAACCCACGGTTGCCAATCGTCTGGTTTAGCCGATAATATAATATTATCATTTCAGCCTTTTAACACCACAAACGATTGGCCAGTAGATCTTCGATTTGGACGGTCGTGCAAAGAGTCAGGGGGGGATTTTTTTTGGAAAAATCGCATTTAAACTGATTTTAGATCATAATATTAATTAAAAACCGTTAAAATCCCTTTTTTTTTGTTATATAAAGTGGACTTGAATCGTAATTATGATCACCTACCCAAAGATACATCCAAGATAAGGTCAACGAGTTTAAGATATTGTCAGCCTAACAGTTTGGAGATAGTTTGAACATGTTTTACAAGAATAAACGCTTGGATGCTAATACACTTGTATTAAATAATATTGTGTCATTTATTGAACGAAATGTAATGACTACCACTAAAAAAATATGTATGAAATTGAGTCAACGACCTAATGAGTAGATGTAACCGGTTGGTGATCTAAAATGTTTTAAAAACACCTACAAAAATGTACCGATTATTGTCTAATAAAGAAACTTGCTAAATAAGTTAAAGAGTACTGTAACGGGTTTTTATTAAATTACAAGTGTTTTTAATAAGAAAACCATAAGCTAAAAGTGCAGTTAATATTAAAGAGTATGATCTATTTAATATTTGATACTCACAACTTATATCTTATTAACGTTTTAATATTGTAAAAAAAAACATAAATAATCATTTTTTTCAAAAAGAAAAACTTCTAAACATACCATGTTGGGTAGTTTAAGAGATGACTTAAATGGAACACCCTTTTTAATTACTACCAAAACGTTTTATTAAGATGGTTTTCATGGTTAAAAAAAAATGTCGTTAGAAAATATATATTAAAAAAACCGTGTTAAGTTTTCAAATATTTTGTTCATTTCATATGTGAACAAAAAAAAAAA